GTCAAAAGAGGAAAGCAAATGAACTGCAAATGGTGGGAATGCAACTCCATCACACTGAGTAACTTACGAGCGAGACTCAGTAGATGGAGCCATGTTGAAAGGCAACATTCTAGGTGATGGTGTTGTTTCAGTGGTGACTATGCCAATGAAATGGTCTCCTGGCTTGTAATAGTTCCATGGTTTCTTTCCATCCTGATTCTCAAAATTAAGTGGGCATTTCATTCTAAGCTTCATAGAAACTGCCTGAGACACCAGCAGCATCAGAAGCAGAATATCCATAATTTATAGGACTGAATCAATCCCCTTCCTATTTCTAAACAAGAACAAGAAGAAGTGGGACAATTCATCGCACTCTGGCTTTCCTGATTCTGCAGAGACAAACCAACCTTCACCTGGAAATGAGAGAAAGGTACATTCAAGAGCACAATAACTGCCTGTCCCAAAATTGTGGCATTTATCCTTTTCTGATGCAAGATGCCTTTCTTGTTGTTTCAGTCTGATGTTAACATCAAAGGCAGTCACTATGGCAGAAGATGTCTCAAAAGACCATGTTGGTGATCATTACAGTGAGAAACAACTTTTCCTCTGGGAATCCTGAAGTTCTTCCCAGACTCCAAGTGCAGAATAGCAAGTAAGTGAAAAGTCACAAATACACCCCTGGAGTTGTTGAGGTCCTTTCTGTCTGGACATGTCCAGAAAGGGATGTTGGAGGAAAATGATTCAACACCTAGGTAATTGACTTTCGCTGCCCTTCATTATGGTGACCGTGCCCAGAGATTGCTGTGGGAGCTCACCCAGAGCAAATACAATTCTCGCTGCAGTTAAAACATTAATAATCAGATATGTTATTTCTTTACTATAACCTTCAGATAAAATCCCCAATAAAAATATCTCTGGTTTTAAGTCTATATGATGTTTTATCCTTTTTTTCCAACCATGTGTGTATTTTAGTCCAATATCTTTTAGCTTCTGCACATGTCCACCACATATGATCCAGGTATGATCCAGGTATCTGATGACATTTCCAACATTTTGCCAATTTGCCCTTAAACATCTTTGCTATTCTTGCCAGGGGGTAAATGCCACCTGTAAAACATCTTATACAAATTCTCTTTATAAGCTGTTGACATTGTTAATGTATAGTTTCTAGTCCATAATTTCTGCCATTTTTCCAAATCTATTCCATATCCAAAATTCCCCCCCCCCAGGCAATAATTGTTTCTTTAACTTGTTCTTCTTCTAATTTTACTCCTAATATTTTATTTATTTTTATTTTATTTATTTATTTATTTTGTCAAAAGCTTACAAGACAATAAAAATAAGAATAAACATAAGTTTAAATATAAGAAATAGGAACTAATAATAAATAACCATAAATTTTTTTAAATCATCCTCTATTCAGTACCTGTTAAAATGTTTATCTAATTCAGTCAATTCTTTGTAAAACCCATCTATCTTACTATCTTTTTCATATCTAGAATGTATTTGCATATATGAATACCAATTCATCTTTATCCCTTGTTCATCTAGTTCTTGCTTTGTTTTGAGTTCAACCTTTTCATTTAAAATTTCAGTATATCTAACAATATGTTTCATTTTAAATACATTTGCATATCTAAATGCCTCTATTGTTGATAACCAGAAGGGTATTTTCAAATAATGTTGTTCCCTTATGTTCTCCCATGTTGATAGTAAAGCATCTTGAATATAATGTCTCTGAAAATATCCATGAGCTTTACTTTCCTTATACCATAAAAATGCATGCCACCCTAATTGCAGATCATGACCTTCCAATATTAACAGTCTGGTATTTCTCAAAACAATCCATTCTTTCATCCACATCAATATTACTGCCTGATAATATAATTCCCAATTGGGTAATCCAAACCTCCTTTCATTCTAGTGTCCTGTAGTAGTTTTAGTTTGATTCTTGTCTTCTTTCCCTGCCATATATATTTCAACATCATTTTATTTAAATCCTCAAAGTATTATTTCCCCAATTTTATTGGAATCACTGAAATAAGTATACTATCCTTGGTAATATATTCATTTTAATTGTAGATATTCTCCCTGTTAAAGATAGTTGTAAATTTTTCCATTTTTCCAAGTCTGTTGCAATCTGTTGTTTTAGTTTATAATAATTGTCTTCCTTAAATGTTCCACATCTTGCTGTCAATTGTATTCCCAGGTATTTCACTTTTTTGTGATCTGGATGTTTAGACTGTTCATTAATACTTTCCTTTGTTTCTCTGTTATGTTCTTCACTAAAATCTTAGTTTCTTCTTTATTTTTAGTCCTGCAACTTCTCCATATTTTTCTATCTTCTCTATCAGTTTAGAAGCTGTCTCCAATGGTTTTTCTAATATAAAGACCAGTCATCGGCAAATCCCTGTAACTTATTCTCCTCCTTTTTTTATTTTCATTCCATTTATTTCTTTATCTTTCCTAATATTTCTATTTAATACTTCCAAAGTCAATACAAATAACAATGGTGACAGAGGACATTCTTGCCTAGTTTCTTTTTTAATATTGATATTATCTGTCAAATCTCCATTTATCATTACTTTTGCTGATTGTTTATAATATATTGCCATGATTGTTTTAATAAATCTTTCTCCAAAACCCATCTCTTCCATTTACAGCAACATAAATTGCCATTTTACATTGTCAAAAGCTTTCTGTGCATCTAAAAACACTAAGACCATTTGCTTCTCTGGGTGTGCTTCATAGTATTCCAATCTATTCAATATTATTCTCATGTTGTCTTTTATTTGCCTCTTAGGCAAAAATCCATTTTGATCTGTATGTATAAAATAGTTCAAATATCTTTTAAGTCTTTCTGCCATTATTGAGACAAATATTTTGCAATCTGCATTCAGCAGGGATATGGGTCTATAGTTTTTTATCTGTTGTAGATCAATATCTTCTTTTGGTATATGAGTAATATATGCCTCTGTCCATGAGTTAGGTACTTTAGTTTTTGTCCAAACCTCATTCATTACTTCAAGTATTGTAGTGCTGAGAGATTCCTGCAATGTCTTGTAAAGTTCTGCTGGTAGCCCATCTGGCCCCGGTGCTTTTCCAGTATTTTGTCTATTTATCACCTCTGTCAGTTCCATCATTGTTATTTTCCCTTCTAACATTATCTTGATTTCCTCAGATATTTTGGGTAATTTTGTTTTTTGCAAATATTGTTTTACTTTTCCTTCTTCAATATTCTCTTGATCATATAATTTCTCATAATACTTTTGTACTATTTCTTTCTTTTTTATTCCCATAACAAACCATTCCATGTTCATCTATTAATTGTGGTATCCTTTTCAATTCTCTCTCCTTTTTCAATTTGTATGCTAACCATCTACCTGGTTTATTTGCATTTTTTAAAAAGTTCTGTTTAGCTCACCTGATTTTTTTGTGTGCCAATTCTTCTTTTTTCCATCAGCCCCATTTAATGCTTAATTATTTCCATTTGACTTTTAAGATTCTTTTTTGTGGATATCTTTGTAGTTCTTTCTCCAGTTTTTTTTAGTCCTCTTCTAAGATCTGTTGTGCTTGTCTTTTTTTAATATTCCTTCTTCTTATATAAGTTATAATCAGACCTCTGATATAGGCCTTCATAGTGTCTCAAACATTTTGTAATGAAATTTCCTCCTTATTATTTTCTTTAAAGAAAAAAGCCAGTTCTTTTTCCATATTTTTTATAAATTATTTTTCCTTCAAAATATTAAAATAATATCCCCCCACCCTTTCCACCCCAGTGACAACACACATTCATACCAGCAATTTAATAGACTCCATCCCCCTCTTGGTTTCCCAGGCCTGCTAGCAGAACCATATCTTCAGGACCTTCCAAAACAGTATCAAATTGGAGACCAGTCTAATTCCAGAGGGTTGATGTTCCAGAGAATCGAATCGAATAGAAATGAATCGAATACAATACAATACAATACAATACAATACAATACAATACAATACAA